AGGGGCGGTTGACTGGTGCTGGGGGAGAGGACCTGTGTGGTCACCAAGGTAACCCCAAACGCGAAGATGGATTGACGCACGGCTTCCTGAACCCTCCCCTCCGCAAAATAATGAAAATTAGAAGTTGGTCCACAGGTTCAGCGTATTTGGGGAATTTCAGGGATCGTTCTCACAAATGTCAGTTCTTTTTATGTCAACAAAGACGCAATCCCGAAGGCCGTAGTGGCTCGTGGGCCCGTGCATGCCCGTGCAAGGCACACGCTCATAACAAAACTTTGTCTCGTGATGCCAGCATGGATGCCAGTGAAGGATCGCAGAGAAGACTGCACAGGGCCAAATGCCAAAACCCAACGAAAGGCCGGGCACCTCGGAGCAGAGCGAGATCCCCAAATCGCAAGCCTCCGCTACCCGACCAGCCTGAGAGGCCGAATAGTCCTCTGCAGGCTCATCTACCCTCGAACTGTGTGGCGCGCTCCTGCTCATGATTCTCCAGCTTCCAAGGGGTTGGCACAAGGCCTCTCTGTCACTTGGGTGGTCTGGGTCGGCTGGGAATTTTGGGCGCCGCGGATCCTTGTGTGCTGTGACCTCGAGCTTCGGCACGAGCAACAAGCCAGGAGCCTGAGGATGCCGATGTCAGAGTCTCTGCCAGCCAAAAAACTTAATGCTTCTTCTACCCTTTAAGAATTCGCATCGGCCTGAGATGTTTTCCGACCTTTTCCGTCATTCGCATCCTCCACCCATCTCCACAACCCTTGCCGGTGTTGATTGCCGCTCGTTGTAAGGCTCTCCGAGTCTCGCTTCGCCACGGTAGCTGTGTTGGACTGTTGGGTTATTTGGCAATGGAAGGAACCATGAAGGAAGTTGCCTAGTACTTGCACCTTAGCCCGTTGGAAGCGGGAGGCCGGATGTACAAAATTGCTCGTGGCAGTTTTGCGACAACATGGTTTACTCTAGAATACTCTAGATCAGCTAGCAGGTAATCCTTGCCACATCTGTGCAAGGCGAACCTTTTTTCCAAGGATTGCGAGGTCGAATTGAGAACTGGCGCCCTCCACCTGCGCGAACCTTCGCCAAAGGTTCCTCTGCCCAAGTTCACCTCTGGCAAATCCTGTGCCTGTGCTCCCTGTAGAGTGAACCGGCTTATCGCCCTACCGTAGTTCGAGCCCATGCCCTGGAAACTACTCGATGACCAAACCCTGACCAATGCATTGCAAACCGTAAATAAGCTGGAAATGTCAAGCCTAACCCAGGACCCTCACTGACATCTCCGCACTGTTTCTGTGTGTGCATGAAGTTGTCTGTATGTGTGCATATGCACGCGGTCCTGCTGTTTCTGTGTGCAACTCCGTGTGCGCGCACGATTGGTGCTCCAGAACACGCATGGCATGGTGGGGAGTACAGTTTTTGGACGTACGACTGGGGGTGGCAGAAACGCGACGTGCACCCCAAAATACATGCGGGCCCTATGATGGCAGGAATGCGGTCACTGTGACGGGAAAACGAGTCGCGCCACGGCACTATGGCAGGAACACGATGGCGAACTCTGGAAAACTCCAGAACACCTCGGGACCTTGGTGACGGAGCGATGAAAGAGCCAAAAGTTCGGCGGGAGCATCCGCGATCACGACTTCCACCTCCTGAACGCCCCAAAAACAAAGCACGCCACTACGTGGAGAGCACCGTTCACCGAGTACAGTACCTGCTCTGAAAGAGTCCATTACGACGACCACGGCCGATTGTGCAACACAAGGGGGCGCACGCCATCTAGGATGTACTGTCCCGCTGTTTTCTCGGAAGAACGGGTTTGGCATTGCTAGGGGGTCGGGTTCAACATGTTATTCGGCTGGTATTCGGAAGCAGCAAGCGCATTCATTGTCTGCCGTACGGGACCAACGCATGTAGGCTACTTACGTACTGTAGTGTTCAGGATCAACGAAACTTCAATTCCACGAGAGCTGGAAAGTTCTAGTGCGATATAAAGTCTTCTGCGTTCAGATTCCAGATGTTAAGCAAGGGCAATATCAGAGCGATGCAAGAAGCGGTGCCGCAGCCGATACATAGCTGCCTGCTTTGTATCCGAATGGTGATTCAATAAGAGTCAATACTTTGTGTCGCAATTGCCCAGTGCATGCGACAGTGCAACCATGCGCAACCCGTGAGGTCGACCGTTCTGGCGGAATGCATATCGTACTTGGCTGCTGCAGTGCGCACAGCTTCTGGACCATGAGTCGTTCGCCCAGAGACCGCGTGCACTTGACAGTTGCTGCTTTGCAGGAAAGTTTGCACTTCGAGGGCTCGTGGGTACGTAGACATAGTCAGTACGAGGCCTTTCTCGCTCGTTCTGACTCTCGCTTTGGGTGCAGCATTCTGTGCCTACATCGCCCCTCGTGGTGTCCACTCGCACATCCCGCATGCAATGAGTCGTCTCCTACGGTTGCTTGCGATGTGTGAGGTTTCTGAGGCTTGCTCAAGTTCTCACTGTGGGCCGGTCCGTTCGTTCGTGCTTGCAACAAGCCTGAAGCATAGCGAGGTGCGTTTACCCCTGTCCGCCCGAAGGGTTTCTCCCGGGGAACGCGCGGGTGGGGGCTGCACATCAGCAGTGTGAATGCCGAGCTGTCGAGACATGGCAGCCAACATGCGCAAACGGCAGCCTTCTTTTGCCGCCTCTTAATCCTTGAGGTGTAGCAGGAAGATGCGCAGCATCGTGGAGAGGTTCAACACTGAGCACCAAACGGAGGCATGCCCTGCGTAGCGGCTATGGAGGGAATCACATAGCTTCAAGACCGAAGTGGAAGAGATGTTTTTGCTGTGGCATCTGTGGTATGCTGAACGAACGACATGCGTGATCCAGGGGTTGACGGCCAGCCATTGCCCAAGCATTGTACAGATATGCCAGCTGGCCTCATGGGCGTGCTTGCTTGCAAGGTTACCGTCATGGCCCAGTGAAGACCGAGGAAAGAACTAGGCACAAGGACAGCTAGAGGAGAGCTGTTTGATCTCTCAGGGCATTGCAAGTCAGTGCAAGGAGCGAGCGCTCGGCTTGAAACCATCTGCTGACACCTTCGAAGGAGCCCACGAGTAGCGGAGCCGCCATTCCCGCAGACTTTCTCCGCCTCTGCAGGTCGGACTACGGCCTCGCAAGTCTTGGACATAGTCCGTGGCACGGCAGGCTGCTTAGGCATCTTAGGCTTGTCCACGCAAATCCGTGCAGTCCTAAAGATGCTGTATGATGCTGTGCTCAGATTTCCGTGAACTCACCGAAGGCCGTCTCGACCCTCAGACTCTGCAGACTCCTTGTTGGGCTGTGTAGATTCCGATTTGCAGAGGCACTTCGAATGCTGGACCTCTTCAGGATGCCTGGTGTGAAAGTGGTGCTCGCAAAACCACAGAGCATTGCGTTGCATGCCGTTGCTGCAACTTGGCGCAGCTTTGCTGTTTGGGCTCAGGACCTTGGACAAATCGCTGGATCGGCTCCTGCTAGTTCGGGCCAGCCTGACCGTCTTCCACTGTAAGTGCAACGGTTGCATTTTGTTGCACCGTCGCAGCGTCAGGTGATCAACCGCTACCACCCGGAGTCCGAGACCTTTTGCGGACACAGGTGCGGATGCCAGCTGGATGTCAAAAGGTTTCACAAACTGGCTGGGAGGGCGATTGAAGCACTGTAGCTGCTCTGGAAAGTTTGCTTTGAACAAGTTTTGCGGCCAGATTTATCGAAATGAACGTCCTTTTCCGCAATGGCGTCAGGGCTTGGCTCTTACGAGTTGTAGTCTCACAGATGTACCATTCATGCATGTGGCCAGTAATACCATGTGATGGCAAACGAAACCTGCTGCACCGCGCAGGCAGGAGCATGTGGGCGCGAAGGCAAGTCCATCGACCTGGCATTGGTTGGCGAGGAGCCGCAACTCGTGGATGCACAAATCTTCTTAGAGCAACGGCTGTTCCTGCTTGAGGTATGTATTGTCCTGGATGACTGGTTGCAAGTTCACAAACAAAGGCAGGCTTCCAGGGAGTGCATTGACTCTGAGACTCGCTGCGCAGCTTGCGCAGGCACTTGCTCTACAAGTTGCAGCAAGGCTTTTTCGACTGGGGCGCAGAGGACCCATTCCCGAAAAGGCACAGATTTCGTCGATTGGAGCTTGGATGCTCATGAGAAAGAGTCTGACGGCTCGCCAGGAAGATGTTAAAGCTGTCAAGAGTCAAAAATGTTTGAGAGCATTCCTGAAGTCGGAGAGGTTTTTGAGGTCGCCGAACCCAGTGCAGCTGAGACTCCTGCCTGACTCGCTAGACATCAGAGAAGACGGGGGTTGGATGCACTGTGGTTGGACCGCGAAAGTAAGGTTTCGTTGCAATCCCCTAGATGATCAAAGGGCCGAGGGCTGTCATTCTGGAGATATTTGTCCACGCGTGCCCTGACAGAGCACCACGACTGTGAGGATGAAGAGCCTGGAGATGAGGGGGATGACTTTCTTAGCACATTGTCTCTTGGAGGCCGCGGCCGCAGCCGCAACTCTGTTTTTGTATGCCCAGTTTGACCCTTTCACTTGTGTGCCTTGGATGCAACCATCGGAGGAGACTTCTTGAACCTGGATGGCGAATGAAATGCACCGCTACTCCGTTTGTCCGTTTGTGTTTCCGGCAGAACTTGCAGAGTCCACAGAGCTTCAGCTCCTCGAAGAGGGAGCGAAAGGAGCGAAATAAAAAGTACCTAAGCAGACGTTAGTTGGCGTGTCGATAGCCGGCTGAGTCACTGTGCCAAAGGTGCACGGAAACTAACATCAATGCTCAGCTTTTTGTTGCGACTTGCGCCACGTACAATGCGTGATGCAAATGGGGTCTCTTCGTGCAAAACCTAAGTTTTTGCACAGTCAGTCTCTGTCTCACTTAAATGCAAAAAGTGTTGCGTGCTCTTCCATTTAGAAGCACACAAGCTCATCTCCTGATGTGCGGACATGTTCCAGGCTGCTGTTGTGTACCTTGCAGACGGTGCATGACACCAGGCCAACGACTCCAATCCAAACGGGGTAATGAGCCGCAGAGGGGTTTTGGTCGCCGGAGGTGTGCACGGAGCTCAGACCCGGGAACTACACCCTACACCAGTATCACTTCATACGATACCTGAACCATGTGGGCATGCGTTTTCTTGGGCAACATGCACTATCGCTCCTCGTGCTTCGATATGCCCCATCCCTCGTTTCTGTGAAGTGCTGGGTCCAGGCCAGTCCCGGAGACAAAAACTCCCAGAAGCGCCCGAAAACGACATCACGCGACCAGCTCAAGGCCCAGTGGGTCTCCTGAAGCAAAGACACCGGACCGGAGGTGCCAGGAGGAGAGTGGTGCTAATACCAGTGTCTTTCCCCGAATTGGATGCCGAAGCCTCGGCGGATAAGCAAAATTTAAATGGATTTTTTGGAATCGGTCGAAGGAAAGGTGGTACTCAATGCTCCGCGGACACTCTGGGTTGGCGCTCTAGGGATACTCTGCAAGACACTCTGAGCGTGGGAGTTCTGGGGGCGGGCACTCCAGCGACACCTGCTCTGCCGCAGCATTAGCTTTTTTTGGAAGGAGTAGTGCGAGGAGAAGGGCTGTCTGAAAATCCAACAACCTCACACCGAGGATGGGTAAAGGGAAGAACGGCGTTTTGAGCACAGACAGACGATGAAAAGAAGCATAGCAGCGACATGAACTAACAGAAACCCACGGGCTTGTGGCGGCCTCGATGAACCTGCGCAGTTCTTGCATGTTCTGGAGTGCGGAAACAGCAATCGGATCTACTCGATGTTCGACCTGTATCCCACTTTTAGTTTGGTGCAGAAACAGCTCATTGCGAACCGAGTGTCATTGGATGGCATCATAGATATGTTATCTTAGTGGCTGGTTCTGGAGCCCAGGAATCAGTACAATGGGATGCCTCAGGTTTGGCTCCTTGCCCTTTCCGGCGCCGGAGCCATTTACCGTCCGCGTCACTTCCCCGATGTGTGAGGCCGAAGCACTAACATCGCAGGATGCAGCCGACTTCTCGTGCATCATCGCGTATGAATGCCTCAGGTGTTCTTCATGTCCAGCACTGACTTCCCAAAGATTCCCAGGACAGATTTTCTGGAAGGTCGCAAGTCCGGAACGGAAAATCCAAGTGTGGGCAAGGAAGCTGCTGGACATTTTGAACGAGTATGCGGGAACCTCGCTTGTCGATTTCATTGACGTTGATGGCGATGCGGTGTCAAAGCGAGCTTAAGCTGACAACACAACTGCGCTGCTGTCAGCCGGATAAGACGCGTTGACGCAGTTCGCTTAAAGTGCATCAGAGGTTGCATCATCCACCACGTGGCGCTTGGGATGTCATCAGAGGAGGGAGCTCGTTCTTGCTCACTCGTAAAGGTGTGCTCAGTCTTTGAGTGATTGAAACAGCGCAGCAGCATCAGTCCACTCGCGGAACCTCGACCCAGCCAGAAGTGAGTTATGCGCACAGGAGCACTGAGTTTCGCAAGCATGGTCATGGTGTCCCAGAAGCAAAGCTGCCGGCCTGACTCCAAGCATCAGGCTTTCATCGATGCATGTGGTTTGCTTCGATGCTGCAGGAAGATGATACTGACAAATCTCAGTGGACGAGCGGTTCTTAGTTCACAGCTGGGCGGAAGCATCAACACATGACTGACTCCATTCCATATCCTGACGGATCCTGTCATTACGAGTTGCATTTTCTTGGGATTGCTTCCGTTGTGATGCAGCGCTCTTTTACTTCACCGGCATCTCTGCAGGGAGACTGCAGTCTGTGTGATGGATTTCGAAGGTCTAGCAACACCGACGACAACGAGCTTGTGGAAGATTTCCGCGAAGTACGGCACCTGGATTACGCAAAGACAGTCTGTCCACAATCCTCTGAGCAAGTACAGTTCGCCAGTCACTTCCGACAGGTGCGAAAGAACCATTTCGAAGAATTTCAGAAGGAACGCACCTTCGCTTTTGCAGACATGTGGTCAAAGTGTAAACCCGTCAGCATCAAGTGTCGCGTTCATTGATCGTCTAGCCTGTCCAGGCCGCGTTCGCTGGAACTTGACGGGTTCCCATGTTTTTGTTCGCAGGACCCCTGTGCAGCGGCTCAGGACTCATCAGAACATAGGTGCATGTCTTTCTGCGGGAAGCCGCTAGAAGAATTTCTACATGTGCGCAATGTGTCTTTTTCAACTATTTTCACTCGCAGAATAAGAAAGCCGCTTCACAGGTCACAGCCACATCATATCCGGGCTTCGAGACAGCTTCCCATACAGGGGAGGGCCAACACGAAGTGTGGCACTGCTCAGCCCAAATGCAGGTGATATGCTTAAACGGCAGGCTATGGCATGCTGTTTGGTTTCACCCGGCAGTTTGAGCCGATTCCGATGATGCTTGGGGTGTAGGTTTGGAATGCTCCGCATTTTGAACATGTCATGCTTGCCACAAGGTAAGTGCATGTACAAAAAACCACGAAGATTTGCCCGGAGACAAAGCTCTTGTCCAAGATTGCACGCAACATGCTCGAGGTTTGCTCGAGTTTATGGCTCACTGTAGCATTGTTGGTTTGACTCCTCTTGAACCAATATTCAGTCATGTTCAGTCACGACACGGCAGCCAGAGACGGAGCTGAATGCTGGCGAACAATGGGCTCATGTCTTCGCTTCTTATTAGGTCCGACCCCAGCAAAGAACAGCACAGCAGGGTGCAGCATTCATGGCAGGTCTAGCCGGTTGCATCACGCCCTGAGCATTGCAAGCATCGAAATTCGTGTTTCCGGTTGCTGCTGCCACTTCATGCAGTGTGGCTGTCTCCATGCATGCTTTGTACCGGCCGTACTCGCTGGCACCTTGCCTCACATTCTGGTGTGTGCAGAGTCATTGCTGGACACTGCCTGCTCAACACATGATGTCTAGCAGCACCCGTGAGGACCCCTCTCAGTGCTGCCATGGGTGCGGACGGGAAATTCCTCGTCCTCGTCGCTCTCAATCTGCCATGGCCCAACATTGCGCTGCTGTCGCTCGCCTATGCCCATCATATCTCCGCAAGATGCTGCTTACGAGGTACAGCAAGAAAGCCGACTCATAAGGTCGAGCGCAGGCCCTCCGAGAATTCCGAGAGTCTCAGAACTCATGCTTCTTGTTCTGAGGCAGCTCTTCAAAGCCGACCATGGCCAAGCCGCAACCTTATGAATCAGCCTCGTCTGGTACCATCCACGGGCTTGGCACCAAACAGTGTTGAATCAGTCAGGGCTTGAAGTCGCGGCATGCCTGTTCCGTCCGACTCCGTCCCTTCATGCTCGCGCCTGCCACGCTTGGTTACGGCCTGCACAGCACACCTGACAGTCAAGGGCAAGCAGGGTAGCTCACAATCACACCTGATATTATCTGCGGCACACCCGTGCAACCATCATTCAAGGCAGCAGCATCTTCGGAGTGGACTAGTCACTGCCAGGTAGCCGAGTAGGTCAGAACGGGCAGCATGCTGTCATTTGAGGCAGAAATTCAAAACGGAAACTGGAAGGGCGCCTACCTGTGACTTTTTTTCTTACTCTGGAGTGAATGCATCCGTTGTCCTCTGTTTGTGGTACGCCGACAGCTCCGGCAGTCTCGCGTGACACGTACAGCAAACACAGCCCGGCTGCGCTAGCAGCTACGTATGGCTTGGCGAGACAATATTTCATGGGTCTCTGGTGTGCTAGGATTTCACATTTCACGGGGCCTGCGGGGGGCCAGACTTTCACATTTAACGGGTCTTTGAGTGGACTAGGATTTCACATGAGATTTCACATGATTTTTCTTGCAGAGTTTGCTGTGAGTGCATGCGTCTTGCTTGACATTGAGTTTGCCAACAACGCACCTTTCAAGCTTCCAGCACATCTAGGAAGATATTGCGACCATGTCAGATGATCCACAAACGATTCCGAACTGGGTGTCTCGTCTTCTGCAAGAGACAGAAGATGCGGACAGAGATGAGCGCCAGATTGCGAGGCTTCATGCTGAGGCTAGCCTGCAACGTGCCAAAAGCAAAGGCACCATATTGAATGCCTTCGTTGTCAGTGCCTGGAGATGAAGAGCATCTCAAACCCTTGACCACACAGGATATCGACATGCGTGACAGTAGTGCTGATCTAGCACCATCTCCTCATCGTGGCCTGAGTGTGACGAGATCTCTATCACAGGCAACCACGATTCCAGGTGCATGCTGTGTTATGCTGTGCTCCACAACGTATTGTTGGCAAGCAGCCGCGACCCAGACATTACAGAGCCCCAATTGTTCATCATTTTTTGCACAGCCGTGTTGCAGTCAAGATGAACAAGACAAGATGAACATCTGGTCTGGTTGTGGAATACGTCCAGTTTTGCAGGAATTGGCTGCAGAGCTCATGGCTTGTGCAGAAAATATCGTTGATGATGAATTGCGACAGATAGCACGACAGCAGTGTCAACTAGTGGAGAAGCCGGAGAGAAAACCATGCAAAACACGCCAACAACCATACATTACAAAACTCACACTCACCCTCACCCCTCATGCGAGGATTCACTTTCTCGCCCAGCCGGACAAGTTGTAGTTGCTAAAACCTGTCCGGTACCCTCTCTTGTTGGAGTGTGAACTTGGCAGTCCGTGGCTCAGATTGAGTTTATGGTTGGCCATTCGTTTCTTTCAGTCATGGCCGCTCCTTTCAGTGTTGGTCAGTCCTTTTCTTTTTTGTTTCCAGCATAGCATGCGACATTTTACGACTGTAGTACTCGCACTAGCCGTCGCAGTCGTAGCAGGCCGCGCTCGAGTTTCACTGTAAACGACTGGCAATCTGTCTTAGGCCACATGGTGGTATCCCTTTCCTGAAAGCAGACATCGATTTGTCTGGTTCAGGTGGCATGTGCTTGAGAGAGCCTTCAGATCATATGTGAGATACTTGTACGTCAGAAGCTTACTTAACCCGACTTCGTCAGCAGGCAGCTGGTTGCACGGCGACACAGCGATGGGGGCCCCATGCCATGCCGGAACTCCGGTAAGGGATGCTGCGGGCGCTCAGACTCAAAGAGTGCAGTGAGTGCGGTGAGGAGACCGAGAGAGCGCGAGCGCTGTCCGGACGCTCCAAGAGCAGCTCCAAGGGGCCGAGGCCGGGACGAGCGGCGGAGCGATCCCGGAAGCGATCCCGCTCTTTCGCTCCTCTTTCCGGAAGGCGATGCTGGCGACTTGCAACCAGGTGGATCTGAGCTCAGACCCGGAAAAACTGAGTTCCGACTTTGACTGAGCACCGAGCACGCTTAAGGTCGAGGCCGCATGGGCCCTGGCGTCGCAACGACTTACTGCGTTCGACAGCCGCTTGGTGCCTTGGGCATGCTTGCCTGCCTGGTTTTCGCCCAATCGGACGAGAGCAGAGCGTCAGAGGCATGTCCCCCCTCCGTCCCCGACAGCAAGCGCAAATCGCGTGCTCGAATGTTTGTATGCCAAGGTGTGGCAGCTCACATCGCTTTCGTGCCACGATGTCGTCCTCCATCCTTGTGAGTTGCTTTGATGGTCGTTGCTTTGATGGTCGTTGCTTTGACATTGAGCCTGGCTGTGTTCCGGCATGTATTTGACGTCGAGCTTTCCTGATGAACCTAGCCGTGCGATCTCAGCGATTCGCATGGAGCTACTATTCTCGGGAAACCGATTCGGCCCTGATCGTTTGCATGTGTTAGCCATCCACATTCGGCTTCAGATTTAGCTGTTCAGTTGTCAAACCTGCCCAGAACAGGTCGCGTTTTAGGTTGTGCCAGAACATGCGGATTAAGTTGTTGCAACGGGAAGCTAATTGACGGTTGCTATTATTTTGAAGGCATCAGAGGTTGGTTTACGCCTTAGTTAACGCATGCAAAGTTGCTCAACCACTGCCTAGAAAGCACTCAGAAGTGCTGTAATCTAGTGCAGCGGCTGATGGCAGAGAAGGCAAGCACACATAAGCCCATAACTGACGGCCTGACGACCTTGCCGTCCTGCCGCATAATTAAAACAACGCGCGGAGTCCTGTGACCCATGACTTACTTACCAGTAGAGCACCATGCCGGTTGGAAAGATGCAACACACATGTAAGCATGCCGAGCAATCCTAAGAAGCAGTGGCACAATGTCTAATTAATGTGATTCAAGCACGGCAGCGCCAGGCAAGTGGATGCTCAGGCTATAGGGGCTCAATGCCGGGACCTTGCGGGCTTGAGGCTTGAAAGGCTGGTGCAACTGTGCCAAGCGTATGCACGAGACTCCAGGCCATCTCGTCAGTCTTTGTCTTTGGCAGCTCATGGCCGGCTTAGGTTCTGTGTCTGTCTTTGGGACTGTCTTCGGGTGTGAGAACTGCTGGCTGTAAGAGGTTTTATGGTATTTCGCCTCACAGCATGGACTTTGAGCGACGACTGGCGCCCGTTTCTGGGTGTCGGGTTTTGGTCCAAGCAGCCTCGCGGGCTTGGCTACTGTCACTTGCAGAAGTCATCCGACCCAGATGAACCGATCCGCCGACACGGCGGACTCCGCCTCTTCTGAGATTTTTTTCCGAGGACCCTCGCAAGCGCACGGCGATAGCTGCATTTCGAAAAAATACTGGCACTGAAGAGCTGTTCTGGGAAAAGGTCACTTGCAAACATCAGTTCCAGCGGACTTCCAATTTAGGGGCAAGCGATGTAAGGATGGTGACATGGTGCATGCGACAAGCATGCCGGGGGACGAGGGTCGCAGTGGAAGCTTGTCTGAAACTTCCGGACCCTGTGTCAGAGGATTCGTCCTAGGTGGACATGCCTGCACGGCGGAGTGCTTGCATCCTTGGCAAAGGCTGGCAGCAGCCCAGTCCGTGCATGTACAGTTCCAGGTTAGCTTTTGGCCGTGGGCTTGTCTGGCCTGCTAGCTATGGCCGGACCATGCTCTACAATCGCCATGGGGATCGGGTTAACATTTCCTGAGGCTTATTCCTCGCGAAGCCCTTTTCTGCATCTCCCAGTTTATTCTTTGTCACCTTCGCATATTTTCGCATGGCCATGCACGACCCTTGCCAGTCGCAGCTCGACCTGAAGCTCGCTGCGCTTTCTCAGAA